AGTGGCCCTGCTTCAAAGTTAGCCACAGCTTAGATCACAAAGAATGAACAGGCGGACTTGTTCCTTTGCAGAAGACTTTCGATGGTAGTCATGATGAGTGATGTGGAGAAGTTGAGGATTGGTGTTTTGTTGGAGTGGATCGCTGCCAGTCTTTGTAGTGCAAGCTGCTTGAAAATGATCAAAATTAGATTCGGGGGAAACTTGTGGCCTTTTATGGCCATTCTCGAGACCTCCTTCGTGAGTGAGGAGTTGATATTAGCTCTTTTATCGAGAACTAACAGTTTCTACTAACTTGCAGTTGCAAAAGCTGTGACACCGTGCTTGTGATGGTGGCTAAAAGATGGCCAGGGTGCCAATATCCCAGATAGGAAGGTATCTCGTCTTGTCGCGAAGCCATCACAGAACATCGCCCCCTGGCCAGACAGGCTATCGGAGAGTAATTACTCATCAAAGCTACTATTGACTCTGGAAGAATGGCAGGCTATTCATTCCGCCGGCTCCGAAACGCTAGAGGTTGTGCTGACATGCGCGCTATTCTCGTTCAGGTCAGCGGTACCCTTGCACTCCGTCCGAGATTACGTATCAACCTAAGGGCTGGAGGAATGTGGGGAGAGTCCTTAAATTAGTGGATCCCCTTGTGCTGATACGTAGCCTAAAATGGTCAACGGTAGGCTGGACTATTTCAATATTTGCCTCTTGTTCCCACATGCATGATCGATTACCAGCGCTCCAGATCGGCTATCACAAGCAAAACATCAATGTCATTGGAATCATGGCGTTTTCATTCGTCAACTACGATGGTCCAAAGCTGCCCAAGGACCCTGGTGTCCGCAAGCTCATTCGAAAACAGGCCATGAGAGATGTCGCGGTGGACAGAAGAACGAGGGGCGGCTACGGACAGCACAATCTGAGGCAATACCCAGACTTTTCTAGCAATGAAGATTTGTCACTTCGTGAAAAGAAAGCTCTGGATGATACGAGACGAAGTTCGCCAGAAAAATGGTCGCCAGACCGAGACCCGATCACATCCCTGCAGAAAGTGATGGTGCGCTCCATACACACTCGTTCTCATGCATACACCTCCCCTGTCTCAATAGCATACCCTGACCATGCCACGACCGAAAAGTTCGCTCTTCTGCTGAACCTCGCACCACTCACAGGCTTGCGTCTCGGCATCGCCAAATTCTCGCCTCTGAAGTCGGAACTCGTCAATGCCTCCGCCTCGCAACTAGGAAGCCGAAAGCTAGCCTACTTCATCACAACCCGATACGCGCAGGTGCCGACGCTGCGATATGCTACCGACTGCGTCATTGCGAAGCTACGGCAGATACTGCGGCCATCGGACAGTTCGTCGCCGGAGGGGGAGCACGCGATCTTGGTCCAGTACACCAAGGCGCTGAGGTCACTGCACAAGGCTCTGGACGATGAGGCGCAGAGGGTGACAGCCGAGACGCTCTGCGCAACAGAACTCTTAGGAATTTTCGAGGTGTGTTACTAGCGATGCATTAAGACATCGGATGATAGCAACGATTAATGACTCTGCAGTTGCTTGATGGGAACCTAGAATCTCACGCCTCAATGCGTCATGCCGGCGGCGCTGCCCAGCTCATACAAATACGTGGGGCCCAAAGATTCAACACTGAGTTTGAAATGGCACTTTTTATGTCTCACGTTGGGCCAGCCGTACGTGACACAAGATTTCTCTATATCGTCAGATGCTAACATCATTCTTGACACAGGTAATGGAGGCGCTTCTCAGCAACAAGTCATGCTTCCTAGCAGAAGAAGCATGGAAACAAGTCATGAGCTCTGTCATTCACTGCGACGACTCGTTGTCCGATCAAAAGGACCTTGCCATTGCCCTGTGGAGCCATCTCGTCAACGGCCCCAGGCGGTTTAAGGAGGTGACGGACGCCATTTCATCAGCCACTCCGCCTTCCCAGGACGAGATTGATGGAATTATCAGACGCTTGCAATCTGATCGAGACAGTCTACTAGACTGGCTGATCATGGCAAGTACACTACCAGAACTGCAGGGCATGCAGCTAGAAGCGGACCAATACGGCGTCGTGTTTCCACGACACTCGTGGAAAAGCAACCCTAACCACAACTCTCGGCTCGCGCTATGGGGGACATATGTCATGTGCCGCATCCTTAAGTCGCGCTTACTGGTCGCCATGGCACCGCGCCGATTCAGCACCTTGGAGGTTGAGTGCCAACATCTGGTAAGTCGGATCATGAGTCTGCGGCAGATGACAAGCACAGGCGAAGGACTCGTCGATACCTTGTTTGTTTCGCAGAGCACATGGATGGCAAGCGGGATAATGGCGACGAAGGAGAGCTGGAGCGAGAGGCACGTTAATGCTGGAGACGGGATGATAGACAGAGGGAAATTCCATGATTGGTGTGTCTCGATTGGCAGAGTGTGCCCCGGTTTGAACGAGGAGAATACAATCTAAAATGATCCTCACTTAGTTTTAATCGATGGGATGATTTGGGGGCACGGAGTTATGTTTAGTTTGACTCGTATTTGTATCGGACAGGTATGGAGGTGTAAGCTTAGAACAAAATTGATATA